CCACATATTGAAATCTCTCGTTTTATTGTTACACTAAAGATATATATAGGTTATTGGTTTCTTAGTTTCGTCTCTGATTAACACAGGTTTTTTTAATAAAATATGGGAAACATTCTTTAAATTGATGGAGTGATTTTGAGATCGGTCGGCCGTGGAGGTGGTTGTGAAGCATTAGACGTTTGAGACACATTATTTGGCTTAGATATGAGCGTGTGTGGGTCACTTAAATTGTTCTGACCATTTGGTGTACTGCTTGTGTGTGTGTGTGTGTTAGGGACAATTTGAAATGTAGTCTCAAAGAGGGAATCAAAACTGAGCCACATACAGAAACTATTTGGATAGAATTAAACGAAAAAGCAAATAACATTATAATAGGAGTTATATATAGGCCACCATATATAGACAGAGTGGAAGCAAAGCATCTATGGGATGAAATATCTAGAGCATCTAGATCTAACAGTATTTATGTCATGGGTGACTTTAATTTTAGTGGAATAAACTGGGTGAACAAAACAGGGAATAATGAAGCAGAAGATTTTCTAGAATTAATTGACAATTGCTTTCTTACGCAACACATTAAGGAACCAACGCGGGGAAATAATATTTTAGATTTAGTGTTAACTAACAGGGAAACACAAATTAAGGACATCGAAATAGGGAGTGAGCTAGGGAACAGTGATCATAAATAAATCAGATTTAACATTCAATGGAATAGATCTGTAGGAGAAAATTCTGTTAAAGTGCCTGATTTTCGAAAAGCTGATTTCAATATCCTAAGATTTTTTTAGGTCAAATAGATTGGAAAGTCTTGGGTATGGATTGTGGGCCGGTACTGGAGCTAGACCTGAACCCAGCGATAGGTGACGTAAAAGGGGTTTTCGATGTGGATTCAAAATATTACCTATTTAAAAATATTCTAACCAAAGCCCAGGAATGTATTATACCATATAAATTGAATAGATCGAATACTAATGATCCAAAGTAGATAACAAAGGATCTAAAGAACCTTATAGGTAAAAAGAGAGCTTGATACAAAAGGATTAAGAATGGGGAAGTCTGTTTAGAACAGGAATTCGTACAACTCGTTAGAAATACTAAAAAAGAGATAAGGAAAGCAAAAAGAAACTATGAAGTTCGCATAGCAGAGCAAGCAAAAACAAATCCTAAAGGGTTTTTTCAATTATACCGGACAAAGATTAGGGAAAGGATAGGTCCATTAAAAACTGAGACAGGTCAAATAACAGATAGTGATGAAGAGATGAGTAGTATTTTTAATAAATATTTTATATCTGTATTTACTAAAGAAGAACTTAACAATATGCCTTCAGCCGAACAAGTATATGTGGGTGGGGACGAGGACAGGTTGACGAGTTTAGCAGTTACCAGGGAGGATGTTCTTAAACAAATAGTAAAACTCAAACCAAACAAATCCCCAGGGCCGGATGAAGTGTTTGCCAGGGTGCTTAAAGAATGCAAAGAGGAGCTTTGCGACCCACTGTCTACCATATTTAATAAATCAATAGAGTCAGGCAGAGTGCCAGAGTTATGGAAAGTTGCTAATGTGATACCAGTTTTTAAGAAAGGAGATAGATCACTTGCGTTAAACTATCGACCAATTAGCCTAACGTCTATTGTGGGAAAGTTACTCGAATCTATAATTGCAAATAAAATTCGTCTTCATCTTGAAAAACATAATTTAATAATTGTGTCACAACATGGTTTTACAAATGGCCGTTCATGTTTAACAAATTTGTTATCTTTTTATTCTAGCATAGTTGAGGCAGTTGATAGTGGTAAGGATTGTGATGTTGTGTACCTTGACTTTAGCAAAGCTTTTGATACAGTGCCACATGAAAGACTGATTAAAAAGATAGAGGCTCATGGTACTGGGGGTGCTATATTAAGCTGGATTAGGGCATGGCTATACCAAAGGAAACAGAGAGTTAGTATAAATGGAGTCAAGTCAGAGTGGGAAAATGTTGTAAGTGGAGTGCCTCAAGGCTCTGTCCTGGGACCTCTGTTATTTATAATATATATAAATGATTTAGATTTAGGTTTGAGTAGCAACATTTGCAAATTTGCCGATGATACGAAAATCGGTAGGGAAATTAATACAGAAGAAAACTCACTATCTCTTCAAGTTGATCTAAATAAGGTTTTGAAATGGTCAAAGGATTGGCAGATGCAGTTTAATGCTGATAAATGTAAAGTTCTGAGGCTAGGTAATGATGACAGAGTTACAAGATACGAGCTAGATGGTGTTGAGATTGCGAAAGGGATCTGGGAGTTATGATTAGTAAGAATTTAAAACAATAGGATCAATGCATGAATGTTCATAATAAGGCAAATAGGACACTGGGATTTATTAATCGAAGCGTTAGTAACAAGACATCTGATGTGGTTCTTCAGCTATATCTTGCTCTGGTTAGGCCCCATTTAGATTATGCAGTTCAGTTTTGGTCGCCGTACTATAGAATGGATATAAATTCACTTGAACGTGTCCAGCGTAGGATGACTAAGTTAATTCCCCAAATTAGAAATCTTTCATATGAAGAAAGATTAACAAAGCTTAAATTGCATTTACTGGAAAGGTGAAGAGCTACGGGTGACATGATAGAGGTTTACAAGTGGATGAATGGACACAACAAAGGGGATATTAATAGGGTATTAATAGTATCAACACAAGACAGAACACGAAACAATGGGTATAATTGGATAAATTTAGATTTAGGAAAGACTTGGATTACTGGTTCGGTAACAGGGTTGTTGATTTGTGGAACCAATTACCGCATAACGTGGTGGAGGTGGGGACCCTCGATTGTTTCAACCGCGGGTTAGACATGTATATGAGAGGGATTGGGTGGTTATAGATAGGAGCTGCCTCGTATGGGCTAATAGGCCTTCTGCAGTTGCCTTTGTTCTTATGTTCTTATATGACAGTTCCCTGCAGTCGCCTGAATCCTTTCAATTAGTTGGTGAATACGTGATTAGTTTAAACTCTAGCAGGGAAGACATTTAGGGACTCCCAACCTCTCGTCTCTATTATCTGGTTTCACGAGTATTTGTATGTTGTATTATTTGTATGTTATCTAGCAGTAAATAGGTTCCTTTGAGTTCGTAGTCAGTCAGTCCGTAGAGAGCTGCAACGGACGGTTTCCTGTGTGTGTGTGTGTTGTGTGTGTGTGTGTGTGTGTGTGTGTGTGTGTGTGTGTGTGTGTGTGTGTGTGTGTGTGTGTGTGTGTGTGTGAAAAAAAATAACATAAATACATATTAAAAATATGTTAATATTAATATTAAAATATATTAAATAAAATTATTACAAATAATATTTAACATAAAGACAAATCTTTTGACTTCGAATTCCTGTTTAGAGAAGTAATAATATGACATGAATGAATATATATTAAAATGTCTGTACGAGGCAGGAAGCCAGACGCTTTGGGATTAAATACAAGAACATAAGAACAAAGGTAACTGCAGAAGGCCTTTTGGCCCATACGAGGCAGTTCCTATTTGTATCCACCCAATCTCACTCATATATACGTCCACCCTACGCTTGAAACAATCAACGGACCCCACTTCAGTCATGTTACGCGGCAATTGGTTCCACAAATCAACAACCCTGTTACCGAACCAGCCAAATAGTCCGATAGACATTTGAATATATTTATATAGCCTGGTTTGGCGCCCAGGAGCTAACGCAACACACGGGTAATACACTCCACTACACGAACCCTCGTGTAGGTTCGAACCCCGATCACGGCCTTGTGGTTTCTTCACATGGGTAATATTTTAAGCAATAAAGAGCATTAAGAATAATAACAAGAGATCAAGTTATTTAAAAAAAAACGTTGACTGTAAAGACCTCCTCGAGTGAAGTTTTATTAGTTTTAAGGACAGATTAATAAAAGATCAAAGGTCACAAACATTAATATTACTACTGAGCCTCTCAGGGGCCATGAACGCAGCCTTTTCCTAAAAAAAATTGAGAACGCTGTAAAATTGGCCTGACCATTACCTAGGAGTTCATCAATTATATATTATCTTACCTTCTCATGCATATTGTAGGATCATTAGATCCTGCGTCGTCAAAAACATTGTTAAAATGTTTTAGATGAACACGAAAGTTGGATAATAACCCCACATTTATGTATTTGTGAATTTTGTGAAAAGATTTACAGCAAGTCTTTCGTACTGTCTGGAGTGCTTTGTCAAGGTGTGAGTGTGTGGTGAGGACGAGACTTACATCTTAACGACTAATGCGAGTGCAACACACACACATGTACACACACAGGGGCCTCGCGGCTGAATAGTCAGCGCTCGGGGGTTGTAGTCCTAAGGACCCGGGTTTGATCCCAGGCCGAGGATGAAACAAATAAACTTGCATTGTAAGTACATAAAACTGGATCACCATTACAATTTTGCCTTCATTGCTTCGGATATACTTGGTGCCTTGAGTTAGAAGTGGCACTATTTTCTTTTTAAAGATCTAGGTTCTAAGCTCATCGAAACAACACGAAACTTGAAGTAACAGCTTCCTTTTTCTAGCCCCTTAGCTCGGCAATAGAGTGTGGAACCGCACACTGTATTCACGGTTCCTGCCAGTGAACTGTGAATGCAGAGTGTGTGTGTGGTTCCACTCACTATTGTGTAACTTGTATGATGCGATCATTGTAACCTTGGAACCACGAAAACGCACTTAAGGCTGCCAAAAACATGGGCTCACCATAGCCCGTGCTACATGGACACTTCGTTCTGAGTAGCTAAGTCTGAAACAACAACAACAACACTGAATCATTACTCACACGCACTCAAGCACAACCACGCACTCCACACGCCAACGAGGGTGAGTGTGTGTGTGGAGACTTGGGGGAAGGAGAGTGGAGTGTGGAGACAGGAATAGCATGTAGGAATGACCTTGGTACAATCGAGGAAATGTATTCCTTTACGCACAAGTTTCTTGAATAGTGCAGAATGGCAAAGTTGCTTTTGTTGTTGTCATGCAGAATGGCAGCGTCGCTTTTGTTGCTGTCGTGCATAATGGCACCGTCGCTTTTGTTGTTGTCGTGCAGAGTGGCACCGTCGCTTTTGTTGTTGTCGTGCATAATAGCAACGTCGCTTTTGTTGTTATCGTGCATAATGGCAACGTCGCTTTTGTTGCTGTCGTGCAAAATGGCAAAGTCGCTTTTATTGTTATCGTGCAGAATGGCAACGTCGCTTTTGTTGTTGTCGTGCATAATAGCAACGTCGCTTTTGTTGTTATCGTGCAGAATGGCACCGTCGCTTTTGTTGTTGTCATGCAGAATGGTACCATCGCTTTTGTTGTTGTCGTGCAGAATGGCAACGTCGCTTTTGTTGTTGTCATGCAGAATGGCACCGTCGCTTTTGTTGTTGTCATGCAGAATGGCAACGTCGCTTTTGTTGTTGTCGTGCAGGATGGCACCGTCGCTTTTATTGTTGTCGTGCAGAATGGCACCGTCGCTTTTGTTGTTGTCGTGCAGAATGGAAACGTCGCTCTTGTTGTTGTCGTAGTATTGGGTTAGATCATGAACGTAAAGACGCTTTGTAACAACGCTTCTCATTGGTCAAAACACCTCTCACATGTTTACATAAATTCACACAGGTATCGAAAGGAGAAATTAGTCTAGAAATCAATAATCACAAATCACTATAAATAATCTATTCTAGTGATTTGAAACACTTAAATATGCAGAAATCGTTTATATACTTCATACGAATAATGGCATCACCTAATTATCCCTCAAAGTTTATTAGTAAATTTAATTATTAATTTAATTATAATTAATATAATTATATTAATTATAATTAATCTGCAACATTAATTATAATTAAATCGTCCATTAATATACTTATATTAATTATAATTATAAATTTGAATGTTTAACAAGGGTAATTAACGAAGAGGACAAGAAGCTGGCGGCTTGTCAAAGGTCTCCCCAATTGGGCAGGGTGATTAATACTCGCGCTGGGCAAAAACTAATAATTAACTAATTAATTATTTAATTAAGTAATAGAAGCAATCGTTGAATTTTCTTAAAATAAGTAAAAGTATAATCCACTTAATACAAGTAAAAGTCAGATGATAAGTAAATAATAGGTGGTAAATATAGAGTATTATTATAAGTGAAAAAACTGAAATAAATGATAATGTATAACCTATAATTACCGAATAACTGTAATTAGGCCTCGCTGGGAACCAGCCTAACTACAGTAAATAATGCAGTAGGTACAGCAACAATACAGTACTTAACAACCTTAAATTCAAGATAACAACTAAATTTACTGCAACCCACATGAACTTAACTAAGTTAAAGTCCACAGTTAAAGGGGTAAACAGTTAACAATCAGTAATTATCACCCTTGCTGGACCAGCCGAATTCCTGACGAAAGATAACAATTGAATAGTTACCTGGACCAGGCGTGAGGTAGCACACAGGTAACGAGCATCTTTAGGTTGCTAACGAGAGGTATATAGACACCTGGAATCAAATATCTGAGAGGCAGCACAGTGGCAATTAACTTATTTGCAAGGCACCTTAAGGAAAAGATGGCAGCGGCTGTCATTATCGTGTTATGTCCGTTCTCCCATGTTGTGAGTCCTCACAGGCTGCGAGACACACCTCATTCCTACACATTTGGTCTATGTCTTGACAGCAATCGTCTGGTAACGGGAAAAATCGTCCATGGAAATCGCCAATTATCATGGGTGGGATACATCGTTACAGTTGAACTCGTTCATTTATACTCGTTTTATGTTGCAGTTGCAATTTCTGTAGTTTATGGCCATTTATACTGTGCAATAAATTACTAAATTTGCATAAAGCCTGTTTATTGTTTGTCCTGCGAATATACTACTAAATTACAAACTGCCATTTGTTTTAATCAAGAGCACAAACAGGCAAACACACACACACACACACACACACACACACACACACACACACACACACACACACACACACACACACACACACACACACACACTTATGTCAGACCAATCCTGGAGTATGCAGCTCCGGCATGGAGTCCATATCTAGTCAAGCATAAGACAAAACTGGAAAAGGTTCAAAGGTTTGCCACCAGATTAGTACCCGAACTGAGAGGTATGAGCTACGAGGAGAAACTACGGGAATTAAACCTCACGTTTCTGGGAGACTGAAGAGTTAGTGGGGACATGATCACCACATACAATATTCTCAAAGGAATAAATATGGCAGATAAAGACAGGCTATTTAACACAAGGGGCACACGCACTAGGGGACACAGGTGGAAATTGAGTGCCCAAGTAAGCCAGAGAGACGTTAGAAAGAATTTTATCAGTATCAGAGTAGTAGACAAATGGAATGCATTAGGAAGTGATGTGGTGGAGGCTGACTTCATACACAGTTTCAAGTGTAGATATGATAGAGCCCAATAGGCTCAGGAACCTGTACACCAGTTGATTGACAGTTGAGAGGCGGGACCAAATAGCCAGAGCTCAACCCCCGCAAGCACAACTACGCTAGTACAACTAGGCGAGTACACACACACACACACACACACAATCTTTGCAACGATGTTAAGAATAAACGGGAAGAATAATAACAGTTAAGAACTACATCTCCCAGTAAAAACTATGGGTGGAATTGAACACTTTTGAAAGATTCTTAAAAAAATGGCTGTTTGACTTTAATCCAAGTAAATGCAAGCTATTAATATACGAGATTGGAAACCGTGGGCAATAGGGAGGGTATAAGATGATGGAATGGCAAATTCTTAACAGAAGTAAGGGGACAAGTCTCGCAAATAGAGAATGCAAATATTAAAATCATATTAAAATAGGTTAAAATACAGATATTAAAATAAGTTAAACTTATCGGCATAGATGGCAAACATCTGCCTAATCTTAACACTCCTCAAACTGGAAATTTCCAAGATATTGCTCAATGCCTTTGTTAAACCAGCACTAAAATATTTAGTCGTAGTGTGAAATACTTCCCGGATAAAACACAACATAAAAATAGTGAAAGTCAAAAGAATTGTGCCAAGACAGGTCCCTGAGAGAAGAGGACTGAAATACAAGGAAAAGCTGAGAGATCTAGACTTAATCACTCATAAAAAGTAAAGAAAACGAAGAGGCATGATTACGACATACAAAATTCTTCAAGGCATTAACGCAGTAGACAAGTAACGAAATGCGAGAAGTTTCAATGCACTCTGTGGATGGAAGAAATCACTTACTCTGTGTAATTGTAGTAAGCAAGTGGAAATAATACAAGAGAAGGAATAATTAGAAGTAAAAGGATTCATAACATTTGCAATAGTCGATATAGAGAATGAAAGCCACGACCCAGGAGCTGAAACTTACAAGTACATATATGTGAGTACTCAAGCACATTCGCCTGTGTGAAATGATAAATATAAAATTCTAAATGGGTAATTATAACAAATTGCTCGCTAGGCAGCTGCACTTACGACTAATAAAATATCAACAATGGCTTTAAAACCAGCTAAAAGTGTAGTTTTTATGACCTGTTAGCGAGTGTGTACACGAAATTTGACTTTACTTCTTTCTAAAGGCAAACATTTCTGGACGTAGTAACTTTTCAAATGCATTCAGTGAGCCTTTTCAATGAAAACTTGACATGCAACTTATCATGCACATGAATCAGGCGTCGAATAACTGTACCTTATTGATCCCAGTAATATAAGTACAATAAAATATAATAAAGTAGCCTGTCTTTCTCCCTGCCCCATAAAAAATAATTTCTATCCACCTGACTGGTTGTCTATCTATCTGACTCTGCCTGTCTATCTAACTGACTGCCTGTCTATCTGACTCTCTGTCTCTTGCCTATCTGCTTGGCTCTTTCAAGTTTTAATTTCTTCTAAAAAAAGATTATGGTGGATATCCTAAAACACTAAAACTGGTGCATACCGCCAAATACATTGTTTTGGAATATACACAAGTAGCTTTAAATCCCCTTGTAATACAAGGGAAAGGGGGGGGGATAAATGCCCCTCAAGTCCACTCTCCCGACTTACAAATCCACAACTCACAACCTGTCGATTCACAATCCTGAACTCACAATCCATCTTGTGACTCACGATGATAATGCCTTCACACACACACACACAAAACGTCTGTTCGAACCCCTCTTGCCTATCAGTTCCCCCTCCCCCAGGGCCCCCATGAACCCCCCATCTAATAGGTCAACAATGGGAGGGTTAATTTATCTAACTTTGTTAATTAAGCACAATGAATGTGTTAAACTCCGGAGGGAGTTATCCTGCAAGGTGAATACAGCATCCTTGGCCACTCAAGTCTCCGTAACTATAATTACAGCACGCCCGAAAATGGTAAACAACTTTTACACCCGGGTTTGTTAAAGCTTAATTAATGGTCGTAGAATACAGAATGAAATAAGAGCGTACCTCAAAGTTTGTGGCTCTCGTTCCTTCGATGACCTTTCGGACCTGTAATAGTATGAAAGCACATTATTATTATGATATAAGGAGATAATTTGAATACTTTTCCATCCTCATATAATATTATAATCACATAATCGATCACATTTGAATTCAATGAGATACTTGAGGCTGAAGGAAATCCTTACCTTTTTTTTTATGAAGAATGAAGGCACTGAAGTAAGTGGGTATAACCAAACACTGCCACTTTATCCACGTATAGCAGTGGTGGCGTATCCTGTCTTGGCTACGCCGGAGCAGACTACGCCTCCTCCATACTATTAACCACAATACACTTTCAGGTCTTGACGCAGCAAACACGAATAATTTTTAGAAGTCTGCTGAGACACTTAACTAAAATTTTCTAGCTGTTGTTGTTGTTAAAGATTTAGCTACTTGAAACATAAAGTTCCAAGTAGCACGGGCTATGGTGAGCCCGTAGTAGACTTTATTTTCTAGTGGCCACACGCAAACTGTTTGTCAACAATAGTTTGGTGTGGCGTTATCAACTACGGAATGCTATTAAGGCCACCAGAATAGTTCACACTGAAACTCACTATAACCGAACATATACTATTCTTATCCGGGGACACAGTAGTTGACGGTGAACTTTTGTTGTTGTTGCCATTGATATTTTGCAACTTTTCGACCGCACACTGATCACGACGCACTGCCCACTCCCCCACAGCTGACAACTGAATGACCTGCTCCACGAATCATGCCACTTGTCCTCAAACTAGGCCCGTCCAGGCGGCGGTCAAACCAGAAGACACATTCATCCATTGTTAACGCACTGCGCATTTAAAATATGTTTTGTATTCTCAAACATATGGAAACACAGGTGGAAAATGAGTACTAAATGAGCCACAGAGACGTTAGAAAAGACTTTTTCAGTGTCAGAGTAATTAGTAAATGGAATGCATTAGGCAGTGATGTGGTGGAGGCTGACTCCACACACAGTTTCAAATGTAGATATGATAGAGCCCAGTAGGCTCAGGAATCTGTACACACCAGTTGATTGACAGTTGAGAGGCGGGACCAAAGAACCAGAACTCATCCCCCGCAAGCACAACTA